CGACATCCATTGTAGACCGGGCCTTATTCTTCTTGCGGTCGAAGAATAATGAACTGTGATTGGTCAATTTTTTACGACTCCGACTTTCGACATTCATTGTAGACCGGGCCTCATAGACGAATTTGAGGAGAATAATCGACTGTGATCGGTCAATTCTTGCGACTCACGACTTTGCGACTCGCATTGTAGACCCAGCATTACGTATCTTTTCAACGAGGTGAAAATGCGAAAAGTGAGAAACGTTACTAGAGTATCTACGATTTCATTGGTCGAAATCTAGTAATGTTCACTTTCCGCATTTTTAGTTCGCGCGAGAGATACCAGATACGTAATAGGCCATAGGCCTCCCTTGTTTCATTTCAATCTTCAATCTTCACCTTCTTTATGAAAATATGGCATATAGCATATAGCATGGCAAATCAGGCAAATGGCAACAAATGGCATAGGGCATAGGCAATATTTGAGTGTATTCAATTCAATTCAATCAAAGTGTATTCGAGCGTAGCGAAGCGGTTTGTTGTGTAATCAGTTATCAGTGTACGATACGAGTTTGTGTAATAACAAGAACAACAAGAAAATCGAAACTGATTGAAACATGAGTAGAACGTCGTATCTCGACCTCGACAAATAACGAATGTTCAAGTATCCGCCGACTGCTGACTGCTGACACTCGCGAATACGTAATACGTATATTATTTGTGAATGTTAACGAAAGATAAATGAGTTTGCAAGATAGCCTGTTTTCCGAGGATGTTGAATACGACGTAACCATCTTTATGAAGGATAAGACGCGTAAGAGGTACGAGAATATTATAACAAGCTTCTTAGAATAGAGTATTACCACGGTGCAAGACGACATCTTTGGAGGTTAAGGTATAGTTTTCTCACGGTTCGTATATTCGTTGAGGTCGCAAACACACACATATAAAACAGTTTTGTTCTTTCGTTTCCTTTTTGATCTTGATTTGACTATTTGGTACATTATCATATCTGTATATCTGCATACATATATACATATAATGCATTGGCGAATACTAATACTACTATATCGTGTCGAACAAGAACTCGGATCTGAAGAATAAGATTACTGTGAGTGACCGAATCGCAGAGTGGTGAGTGGCGAGTGGCCCTGGACAGCCCCTGGATTCCCATGCCCCATGTCCCACGCTCAGGATAGAATAGAATTTATTAATAGCGCAGGAACACAGGATATATATATATATATATATATATATATAAAAGTATGTATGTACGTACAGAGTTTTCGTTTTCGCTAGAGTACAAAAAGTCGAATCGTACGTCCATTTTTTTTTTATTACATTCTACTGCTCTATATTTATGTTTGTAAATGATTTTATGTTATATATGATTTGTGCTGCGTAAATTAATGTAAATAGTTTTGGTGCACTTTTATTGCCACAGCCGATACATTCATAAATATTTGTACATATTTGCATCCGTAGAACGGTACATCGACATTAAAATAGTAAAATAGTAAACGCCTAAAAAGTTTTATGTCTCACAGTCTCACATCAGATTGTACATTTGCAAATGCATATTTCTTTCCATGTGCAATATTAGTATTAGTTCATCCTGGGAATATTTAATATAGAGTAAAGTACAATTTTTTTGTCGATTTTGAACATGTACGTTGATTCTTATGCACGTGGTTACGTGACGTCGTGAATAAGTACGTTAGTAGTCGCATGACCACATGCTTACATGTTACGTGATATAAAACAGCACGCTCTGCTTTTTCCTTGCAGGAAAAAGGGAACGTAAATACGTAAATAAACTGAATTAACGTGGTTTCTCGCCATTCGCGGCATTCGCGCTCATTAGAGTCATTAGGCGACAAAAGAAGAGGTCGAGGAAAACGTTGTGACATGATGACATTGATGACTGTCTGACTGATGATGGCAAATGAGGCGAGTCGTAAGATACGCCGATGTCTACGCGGTCTACGCCGACGCTACGCGTAACGCGCGAGTCCTCGTGAAACGAACAAGACTTACGAGACGAGTCAGACGTCAGACGTCAGACGAGGGAGAAAGTGAACGGGTTATGTAAAAGTTAGCTGACGTTTATATATCGTGTGTTTCGCCTCTTCCCCTTCCATCCTCGTCTCGAGTCTCGAGTCTCGAATCAGTGCCGTAAGGCATTACGTTCACCAAAACGAACGGAAACCTACTGCGATACCCCAAACCCAAACAGCACAGTTCGCTCGCGGCTCGATCTCACTTTCAGCGAGAAACGCGTTCTTTCTTTTCAGTCTTTTCACTTTTGCAGAGTGCTCGTCTTTCCGCCTGTCAACTCGTATCGTCGGTACATAATACACCAGCTGATACAGGACCGTTTCCCAGATTTGCTGCATACATTCTCGATCGGCCAAGGCTCAGCTAGACGTACCGTAGTATGCTACAAGAGCGATGTGAAAAGGTACAGATATGACAAAGTGCCAAGATGCTTATTCTTCTCAGCTTCGATGTCCGCTAAGTTGCGAATTTTCTCGCTAAAATATTCCATCGATTTATTCATTTATTTGAACCGCAAGTATTTGAACGCGCAAACGAAAGTGAACGTGATCGAGCGTGTCTCTCGATCGTAAGATTTTTCTATTCCGTCTGTATCTTACTTACTTTGGAATCACAATCATGATTCCGAAACATCAAAAATGGTTTTTCTTTCCAAGTGTTTGGGATAAGACAAATCTTATCCCAAATGCCATATTTCCAATTGATTGCTCTAGTTTTTTTTTTTTTTTGACACAAGAATATTTTTAAAGAAAGCTGGGTTCAGAAAAATGACATTTTTATTTTTGTTATAAAGAGATTGGGATTCACCGAATGTTCTTGAGTGTAAAACAAATTGTACGACGAGACAAAAGGATACGACTCGCGGAATGGGTATCGAAGGCCGACGCTCACCCTCGACATCTCCAGAATGCAAACTGCAGCGACAAGGTTATTATGAATATAAATTTATTGATGACGAATAATCGTCGTGTCATGTGACAGGTACTTTTAAAACAGTTCCGTTGCGAGATACTTGAAATTTTTATTTGTTTTTAGCTAGGTCAGTACCAACGGTAGAGATTTATAGGCCGCCAGCGGCTAGGAGAGCTAACACGTGCTCTGGGATAAATAGTACACAGACACAGATACAATCAACTGCAGATATCTCTTCGGTCAAGTAAGGGTTACTAACGTATTATTTTTTAAATCATAATTATTGTATAATCGTTATATGATATACATGCGCATATACTAGAATGTATCTAGAGTGTACTCGACGCGTGGCACATACATAGTGAGCGTATTTTTTATTTTCAAGTTATAATTTTACACGATAGATACTAACGATTTCAAACATGTTGTCAATATATATATATATATGTGTATGTGTACGCAGAAATGTACGTCAAAAACGACCTGATCGGGCGGTTTACATACCTAGACATCGCAGAAGTTTAGAAACTGAAGATAAGAAGCCGCAAAGTCTAAAAAATTCTCACGCGACATTAAACGGAGATTCAAATATAAATAATAATTCCAAATTACAAGATGTATGTTGTGGTCAACAAAATATAGACGATACGACTCGATCATTGAACGATCAAATCTCCGAGAGTCGCGATACGAAGATCGAGGATGAACATTTCCCGCGAGAGATTTCAGAAAACGTAGTTTCTTTAGATTCTGGGAAGATGTCCGATACTCGCGGTAATACCGAGCACATATATAAATTTTCGGAAGAACTGAAAGAAGCGGTGTCAACTTTGTCCGAAGAGAAAGAAACTGTCACAACTAATAATACTGACGAAAATAATACTACGTCCAATCTATTAAAATCTTCCAACCACGTTGAAATTAATGACAAACACGTAGGACGGATACAAGAAACTATAAAAGAAAACCACGTCTCGCTCGAACATTTAAGTTGTAACGATGTAATTGATTACAAAGATAGACAACTAGTTGAACAGAATGTAGTATCGGATATTCTAATATTTTCCGATACCGTTCAAAAGAAATCCAAACAGTCTGAACAACTCTCTTCAATTCTTGTAACACCACCTGAGAAAAAAGTAAAAAAGGTAGAAAGGCAAAAGAGCAAACCGGCTGCACCACCTTCTCCACCTTTAAAAATGAACAGAGATGAATGCGATTGGGATAGTTTATTTGACGATAATGGCGATTGTTTAGATCCCACATTGATAGAAGAGGTCAGTATATTACGTATCTTACGTTTTTATATTAAATAACCTTTACTGCGTTTGTCTATTTTGTTGTGTGCAACTAGGTGGTTATTTATATATTGTCTCTCTTTTTCTCTTCCTTTCTCTCTCTTATTTAGCTTACGTCAGCAGTAGGTGAAGTAGTGATAGAACAACCAAAGAACGCGTACAAGACATACAGCAAGCAAGTTGAAGTGTCCAGTGACGAGTTTGCACACGTTGTAGAAATTTACAATTTTCCTTCCGAGTTCAAAACTAGCGATTTAGCGGCTGTCTTCAGCTCTTTTAAGAACGGTGGCTTTGAGCTGAAGTGGGTGGACGATACTCATTGTTTGGGAGTTTTCAGCAGTCCTCTCGTTGGTATGTACATAGATATATGCACACGTGTCTAATAATTTATATTAATATAAAAATAATTGATATGTAATTTGTATATCTTTATTGAAAACAGCTTAATAACTTATTTTGACAAGGAACGTTATACTCGAGAAAATTTACCATTATTTTACATCTGGTACTGCTAATAGTATAATAATCAATACGTCATCATCAATAATACGTGTTGAGAATAGTTTCCTTCCGATAAGCCCAATTTTAATCAGACTTATTGCACGTAGCTACATTCTTTTTTTGCTTCTTTTATTTTCATTTAAGCTGCCGAAGTGTTAGCCTCGAATCATCCATTTGTGAAAACGAGACCACTTAGCGAAGCTACTGCTTTGAGTAAAACGAAAGCTAGAAGAAGCGCAGAATTTTTGCAACCTTATAGGAATCGTCCCGAAACATGCGCCGCCTTAGCTAGAAGATTAGTTACAGGTGCATTGGGTGTGAAGCTTGCCACAGCTAGACAAGAACGTGAGCACGAAAAGAATATATTACGAGAAGCAAAAGGTGATCTTTCAAAAGAAAAAATAGTCTTCAATAATTATTGAGGAGATTATTAAGAGAGATTTTTGCATTACAGAGAAAAGACGATTAGCCAACAAACAACGAGAGGATGTTTGGGAGGGCATAATACCGACAAAGTAGCATCATATATTGCTAATATATAAAGGAATATTTATAAGGATTTATACCTCATTGTGTACATTATACGCATTCACATTATTGTAGCTGCGTAGTTTGGCATAGCCCATCATGGCTCGCATGATGGTATTCTCATATTAGCGCGCATGCGTATATTTGTGCCTTACTCGTCTATTCTTTACATTGATAAATAGAAAATTGAACAACCATTTTCCGCTTTGTGTGCGACAGAAAACCTACGATAATTATCAGTAAATGAGTTCGGTATGTAAACATAGCTATATATAGTAAATATCTGATTATTTAATTGAATAATTATCTTTCAAACCGTGTTGAGACAATATTGTTATCATTTTACATATGAACGTATCGAAAAGTTTCGATGTAAAGAAAAAGTAGCAAAGACGACCAGCAATGGTCACCCCATGTTCCTACATTTTTCTGACACAAGAATGCAATTTTTTTTTCTTTTTTTTTTTTAAGAATATAATATGCAATACTGAGCAATGATTCACTCGAGATTAAAATTTGACATCAGAATTATAAATGTAATGGTAAAGATATAAAACAAAAAACTGAGAATATTTTGCAAATATCTTGATGATTGATCATTGTTATGAGTTTATACACAGCAACAAACAATAATACGTATAGTACAGTAGATTGATCGCAGGACAATAAGTTATTGCTAGTAACAAGATTCTTTCACTCGCACATCGATTCGTTATAGCGATATTTCAAAATATATCTTTACAAGGTTTTTTCATAGTTGGACAACATAATTAGTATAAAAACATTATCGAAAATATTGTGGCGTTAAAATTATATTCCAACGTAATACTATTTTACAGTTTTGACTTATGCCACTTATGTCTGTTACATACATATACATATAAATGTTACAAGCCAACGCACAATCACATTATCTATTTATATTACAGAGTTGCTGAGTATAAAGAGAACAGATGGTATTTTTATATACAATTGTTATCAATGTGAAACAGATAATATGTATATCACCTATCCCTAGTCAATGTACACAAAAGATGCATTACTTACATGTTAATATGTCACGAGTTGATTAAGAGGATTTTTTGTGAGAAAAGAGAAATAAAAATATTTTCTAAAACATAATTTAATATTGTCTATATTGTATTTACATACATCTATGTGTAGTTGTAATAAATACGAAAACTTTTTGAGTTTTCTAAACAAATTTGCAAAATACAAAAAGAAAAAGATGTCCATAATAGAATATATGTTGTTAGTAAGAATAAAATTAATCGATACATTTTTTTTAATGCATTAAATGCATGAAACGCATTAAGGTCTGGTAGTGATATCTGCGAGCGACAAAATTGATGCATGTCCAAGTGATAGAGAGGTCATATAATTGTATTTCTTCAATAATACACATATAAAGTGTGTACAATATTACTTTTTAATGGCAGTATTACATCTTGCGTTTTTCATAAAATACAGCTACATAGTAGCAAATCCATTTGATTATATTATTCTTTCAGTTTGTATTTTTTAACAAATGTTTCTTTTCAATAAAGTTATGGAATCTAATTTGTTTAATATCAAAAGACAATCGAGTTCAGTGAAATGACGTGAGAATCATTACCACTTGCTACCTTTCTTCTTCTTTTTCTGTTGAACTTTGCGTTGTTGCTGACGTGGTCCAGAAGTTTCCACTGTGGAACTATGACGAGGGTTTGGAGATGGCTTAGCATTTGCAGGCATTTTAGTGATATCGCTGTAAAGTAAAATACATTATTATCTTTTTAATGATTAATTCGTCGTACATTTACAGTAATGCAGGGGTGACGCATGACTCATTGTGAGAACGGCCGACTGATGGTTGGTTCCAAGTTTGTATTCCCGACCATCACTCCAAACATGCCTCTCGATTTTTTTCGAAGACTTATCATAGAAAAATTCTCATAAAAATATGCGTCTATATATATATAGGCTATACGTACTAAAGATCACTAGCTCCTGTAGCGACTCCCTGTGTTCCTTTCATAGCGGTATCCCTATTCCTTCTATCCCGCTTCTTACGGAATCCACTACGTTCGTGTCTCGGTAACCATCGCTCTGGATCTGGCACAACATTTGGATCATGGTGCTTTGGTAGTTTACCCCTGCGTTTACGTTTCTTGTGCTTCTTTTGAATTATATCTGATATTGGTTTGCTGGTAAAAAAACCAAAACGTATATGATTTTACTATTCGAATTGAAATAACTTGTTTGAAATATAATATTTACCCAGGCGAAGGTTCGATCTTTTTCTTTACTACTTTAGTCCCGATAACCCAATTGCTGCTTTCTAATGCGTCAACGTCGGTAGTTTCGGCAAGATCATGAAGCGGCGGTAATCTTTTGGATAATGACTGTGCTTTTGTAGGGCAGAACTGTACATAAGCTACTACTAATTGAGCTAGAGTCTTGGTGTCAGACGGTGAGGCATCTACTAATTCTTGCAGAATGTCAGCAGCAATCTTGAGTTCTCCACCACGTAAGTAAAAATTAGCAGCTTGTCGCCACAATTCTCCCAAATTTTCAGTGGTTTCCTGAAAGGAAATTTTCCATGCAACTTAGTAAAAAAGTGTCACGTGGAAAATATGACAATGCATATATCCAATTCATATACCTTGTTCTTTTTATAATAAGCGACTGCATTTGTTAGAGCGGCCGAAGCTCTTTCCCGGTCGTTATCAGCTAAGTGAAGCGTAACGAGCGCGCTAACTATTCCAGGCAGAGATCTATCCCTTTCGTTTAGATTCTCAAGAATAGCGATTGCATCTTTTCTTTCATCGTGACTTAAAAGTACTTGCACGCTGGCCAATTTCATAGGTAATTCCTTTTCACCGACTGCGTGTTCGATTAATAGTTTTGCTGCTTCTTTTGGCTTACCTTCTTTACTAAGTTGTACAGCTTTTATAAACATTGCATCTGCTGCAAGCATACGGCAATCTTTCGCAAGATTATTGCACAGTTGGTGACATTGTTCTCCCTGAAAATATATAATAAGCGCGCGTCATCTTAATTTGAATAATGAGACTAATATTACCCCCCCCCCCCTACCACACACACAGTATCATCATACACCAGGCTTACTTGATCAGTGTAAAACGCTAACAAACACTGATTGTATGCGATATTTCTTCTTTGCTTAGAAGTTAATTTGTGCTCTAGACTTTCGTGAGTGGCACTTTTCATTCTCTTTTTACTATCAAAGACATTTTGATCTTTATTCAGGCATACTAAATTGTTGCTAGCTACAGCGACCACGGCAATATCGTCTGGCTTGGCCTTTAGAGCAGCAGTGTACACGGCATGTGCTTCTTTATCTCGTCCTTGCAATTGTAAACAGTAGCCAAGCTGTACACGAATTACACCCAATTCATTCTCAATCTCTTCTTCAGATGCTCCATCTTCCTCCAATCCTTCCTTGCACATTTTCTCAGCAATTCGCAATTTCTTTTCCGCTTCTACTAAAGTAGCTCTATCATCTCTACTTCCTTGGGCGATTAAACAACACGCCGCATTATATGTTAACTCGTAAGTATGTTCGCGTAAGGAAGGAACTTCTAAATCCTAGAAATAATTTTTATATGCTAAAACTATTGATATTTTAATATTAAACTCTTTTGATTTTCTAAAACGCACGTGACTTACAGAACCCTCGCGTGCTAAGTTTCCGAGAACAGCCGCAAGATTTGTTTCTCTTTCTTCTTCATATTCGTCACTTGAATTCTTAATGATATCTCTATATACTGCAAAACATTCTTCATACTTCTCTAGACGATATAATATCTGAGCTTTTAGTTCTTTAATCTTCAGGGAAGGATTTTGCACATTTTCTATTACTTTTAATGCTTCGGGAACTTGATTCAAACGATATAGACAGTACCCTTTCTCAAACTCCATATTCCTAGATTAGAGAAAAAAAATTTATAAAATATTTTATATATATATATATATATATATATATATATATATATATATATGTATATCATTATATAATATTGTCATACGTTGCCAATTTGGGAGTTTTAACAATAAGTTGTAATGCATCGTTGAATTTGGACAGCTGGATGCAGCAAATAATCTTACAGTGAAACGCCGCTTCTTCATCTTGGGAAATACCTAAAACTAAATAACAGAATGTGAATTACCTCATAGTACGCTAAATGACACATTTTGTTTCACAATGCTTTTCGCATCTAAATTGTCTCAAGGAATATATAAATATAATTTTACACAAATACATTAAATGATATGAAAGCGTTACAGCAGCGAGTAAAGATACCAATTATTTTTGTCGTGATTACCGATTTTGCTTTCATTTTAACGAATAATTTAGTTTTAACTTAGCTTACTTCGGTTTGCAGTTTTTAGAGCCCTCTCATATTCCCCATTTTGTCCTAATTTATTTAATTCCGTGTACAATGCAGAAAGGTTACTTTCTTTCGAAGCCATATTTCTCAATCAAGCACAATAAGCACATACGTAAATACGTATACGTGTAACTGACGAACTAACCTCAACTGACAAGTTACGGAGCGGGGGAACAATGGTCACGTGGTACTATTAGTGCCGCCAGAGAAAAGCCTGAGAGAGGAACGTGGTACTACGTAGCCACGTTCATTTTCCGACACTGCCGATAAAACATCATTTTGCGCGTCCTGTGCTACATCTGCAAATGTATATAATATAATGTATGTATATATTGCAGTGTCGGAAAGAGAAAAAGTGAGAGAAGGAGAGAGGACTATTAGATATTTAACATATGTATAACATAAATATATAAAATAAGTTAATACTTATCGATACATGTATATATATGGGTATCTCCTAATCAATTTAAAAATCCGAATACGAGCTAGACAACATCAGGTTTTTATGGAAAATTTTGTTAGCAAAACGAATAATATTTGGGGAACAAGTAACAGAGAATGTTACATAATTTTGAAGTATCTTGACGACGACGGTTTATCGATCGTCTTTTATGGTATGCGGCGCGCGATCACCGCGCTGCAAGAACGATTGCGAGATTTTTACAAATTACACGGTACAAAATTTAATGTCAATTTTCTATAAAATAGAGGTTAGGAGGAATAAAAAAAAGCACATACAAATAAATTTGAAACATTTGTAAACGTAACGTATTTACTTGCGCGCGCGGCGCGCGCCGCCACCGCCGCAGTCAGGCGGCTCGTCCAACGCGCGTGGCTCGCAGTCGCGAGCCGAGCCCCCGAATCCGGCCAATCACGGTCGGCCGCTCTTGCCGCTGCCGCCGTCGCCGCCGGCGCCGGGCCGGCGCAATAGCCGCGACCAGCGAGTGCAGCGAGTGCAGCGACGCCAGTCAGTCGGGCCAGTCGTACTAGGCGCGCGATCGTTGAATAAATCCGTCTCCGTCAATTTCGGAGCAGCGTACGTTCAAAGTCGGGGCGCGGACGGTTGTTTCTATCGGCGATAGACGGCCTTGATACTTGTGTTTTCGTCGACGCTCTCGGAGTACCGTCACCTACGGATATTACTCACAATCAGTCATTCTCCCGATAAATTTCCAACAGGTGTGAACAGGTGTCAACAAGTGTTTGTGCTTCGTGCTGTGGGTGCTGTTCGTGCGATTGGCACTCCTGCATGCTCCTCGATCGTTCCGCGGGAATAATCAACGACGCGCTCAATAATTTCGATCGCTCGCTCGAGACGGAGACGTCGGCGTCGATGCGAAGGTAATATTCGCGGGCGATAATCGCGCTGGTCCTGCCCCGCCATATGTCTGGACTCTGGACTCTCGAATGTAGCATTCATTTACGCGGCATATCTCGTGATTCTCATCGTGTCGTGTGCTTTGAACGCTGTGTGCCGGAATTGTCGTGCGATTATCTCCGATTCTTTTCGAAGAGCGGGAAGAGGGCCGAGAGTGACAATAACGTGAAATCGTATCGTGAAGTAAGTGATTCAAAAGTAATAGAGCACACTGATACAACGCGATCGTTCATTAATATTTCGTATATTTTCGTATATCATGATTCGCGTAGTATCTCGCGTGACGCATCAAGATCTTCAAGATGAATGCGGAACGAATCGAGGCACTACTTCCTTATATAAGTATACTA